TAAATGGGAATAACCTTTCCTGTGGCCAGAAGTGCTCTAGCTCAGTCCTAGGAAAGAAATGCTCCTATTGCCCTGAGCCACTGATGTCCCTGCCCGTGGTGTGGAGGGGTTGGAATAGGCTTGGAAATTAGGGCCCCTTCTAATCCAAGCAATTCCATGATGATCCAATTTCAGCCTTGACCAGAAGGTGCCCTGGCTGGAGCTTTTGCTCCCTGCTCCAGTCCAGCCTGTGTGTAAGGGATCACAAACATTTAATAACACACCCGTTCCCAGAGGATGGGCCTTTTAGCAGCATGTCCTTCATGTGCATTTACATCAGTAGGGTCAGATGTACCCAATTTTTATTTTCATGGAGTTAAGGGCCATACTGGAAAAAGATTGGAACTATAGTCTCAATGACATGATAATTATAAAGAAGGAAATTATTCACATTTTCTTTATATGCCAGAACAAAAAGACATCAGTCAACACTTCTGCCAAGAGCTAGATTGTTATTTAAAGGTATTTCTTCAGCCTTTTTAAAAARGAAGCTGTGAAGTTGATTTTAATATTTTTTAAGTTTTAAAAATATTTATTTAGAAAATATTGACAAATATTTATGCATACAGATAGGATTCTAGTTTGCTCTTACATGCTAGGACCTAAATCTGAGGAGAGACTGAAGCTGTTCTTTTTACCTCCTTAACTTGAAGCAAACCCACCACAGAATCCTTGCAGGTTTCAGCAGTGCCATGTGGAACTGTACAACAAAATTTTTCTTGTTCAATTTCTGTGTAATTGGTTTAATTTAGGAAAGGGGTAGAGGTAGGGCCATGTGTCAGGACCCATCAGTAGGGCCGTTACATTTGTTGTAAATCCTCACCAGTTGCACAAAGACACCAGACCATGGGTCAGGAACTCTTGTTCTTTCCTGTGTTGCCATTGAACTCCAGCAACCAGCCCAGTATTGACACTCAAAAGGTGTTGGCTAACGAGCCCTGAAATTTTCACCATAGACTTCCACAAGTGGTGGCTAACATGCCTTTCATTTTGTAATGTACATTTCCATAAGCTCTCAGCCCCTCACAGGAAATTTCTCAAAGGTTTATTTGGTGGGAATTGAGAATTCTTATCCTGGYAATGTTCCAATCCCTGCAGGCTGTGATAAGCAGATATAAACACATGCAGAAATTGTTGTATGATTCCAATGTTCATCTTTTGTTTGCAGGATCAGTTTGCTTTCAATCTTGACAAGATTGTAAGATTACACATAGAAAGAGCATTAGTTATGGTTTGGTTTTTTTACATCATCATTTGAGCACCTTTGCATGAGCATCATCTGCCTTGCCAGTAGACTTCTTCATTAATAGTTACAATATGGATTTTTTTTAAGCTGTTGCCAAAAGCAAAATGGTTTGAATTTTAATGTTCAACATTTGAGTTCAACATTTTCCCTTTTCTCTGTGTGTTAATTTCCGCTTATATCCCTAAGGATACACCATGTATTACAGTACCTTTCACAGGAATTCACTTCATCTAACTCTAAGCTTTAGGTGGATCCTTTGCCTGGTCAGTTTATYAACATTAAAGTTTCTGCAGTTTGAAATAAAGGAGCAAGAAAGGCCTTGGTTGGGCTGTGTAAACCTAGCGAAGCACAGCTCCAACAGGGACACTGGCAGCACAAGGAACACTCCTGGGAAGCCTGTCCTAGAGGGAGGGCAAAAAAGCTCATGTGGCATGCACAGTCCAAGTCATTTCCATTTGCATTTCACAGGTSCCCAGGACAGCACGGTCCCCCAATTCATGGCACTACTGCTGCATGTGAATCTTCCCTTTCTTCAGCCCAGGGTGGGGAGGGAACCGAAGAGCACAGGGAACTGCTGCCCTCTTCCAATCCTTTAGCAGAGGGCAGGGAAATCGATTGTTGGAGTGGAAAATGTGCTCTTCCCCCAGCAAGGCAAGTGCTGTTCCTTACAAACAGAGCAGAACATGCAGCTACAAGCAGCAATAACCTGCTCCACCCAGCGTCTGCAGCCTGAGATGCAGCTCTGGGGAAGACAGAAAAAGGTTTTGCTGGAATCCCTCTGTGCAAGTGGATCACATCATCCCCTATCCCTGCTCAGAGGGGAGGGGAACTACATCGAGGTACACAAGGAAAATTACTTGAAATAGTTGGCTGCAGCACTGGATCGTGTTCTGAGGTGAAAGGGATGGGATGATGACATGATGGGAACGTGACAAACACACACACACACACACACACTCCCAACCAAAAAAAGCACCAGTCCAGTTTGGCAACTTCCAATTTTTTTTTTCCAAAAGGTTTGGGGCACAAAATATTTTTCTCATGACACTCTGTAACATTGTTATTGCTTACATTTCTATATGCAAAAAGGTAGAGAAGATGTTTTAAAAATACTTCTTTAAAAATTCACTGGTTAAGACTTAAAAAAAAATTAGGAGAGTAAAAGCTCTATCAAAGTATTTCCTTCTAATTTTAGGGAACTTCCCCAGCAGAAAACAGTTCTGTACAGACAGTGCAATATGTTCTCCATCCACACAGGAAAGGTTTTCCACCCACTCCYACAGACTGCTTTCACTCCTCAAAAGGCAAGAACTGTGCTTCTGGTAAGGTTTTCAGCAGCTCTGGTAAATGCAATTAAAGCAAACATTTTTATTACCTATTGTAAGTACCGTTCTGCAAGCAAAACTATCATTCCTTTAATCYCACATATTTCCACTACAGTCTTGTAGGTCAAACTAACACATTTACTTCCTAGGCAGTAACTTGGGCTGCATTCCACACTTACAGAGGCTGTGGGGGGAAATACAATATCATATAGGTAAATCAAGTGTTAATTCTGTATTTTTACAGCTGAAATTAAGTTTATTTTTGGAGTAGCAGAAGGGAAGAAGAAAAAAATCCCAGACTATGAGAAGCAACACACATGACCTTGTAACACTCAGCCCACAAACAAAAGGAACTTCAGCAAACTCACACCTCTACTTAGTAAGGTAAATCAATGTCATTTTTATCAGACATGACAATGAATTGGAAAAAAAGCACCACTTAGTTTTAAGCAAAACCTTTATTTTAGCTCATAGGCTTGTTTGTATTAAAAACAGTTACTTCAAAATCAAATTCACATAAAATTCAGCATGTAAATGAACTGAAGTTGTCATTGGTCAGGATCAGATTCTGAAAGACAAGGGCTCTGAATGACATTTGAACAACCTTGGGTGGCAACAGATAAAACTGGGAACATCAGCAGGAGCATCTCCTCCTTCAGAGGCTGAGGAGTTACATTGCCCCCTTCTTCAGCAGATTTTAAAACACCAGCTGCAAACCAGGGCCATTGCATGATTTCTCTATTTCCCATAAATTCACTCAGCAAGGATTGAAAAAAGCATCCCAGTTTAATCTGCTACTTCACAGGAGTAAATTCTCTTGAGTCTTGTTAGAGGCACTGCTATTTTCTGCCAGCAATCAAAGTACTTGTCTTAAAACAATTTCCTTACAACATCAACAATCAAGCTACATTATATACACTTCAATTGTACAATTATCTTTAAAAAATGCCCGTGTACAAAATAGGTTATTTTATTTTTTTTTTTTTTTTAAAAATCACATGCTAGATTTCAATTACATCAACATTTTAAAATAACTGAAAAAATTGATAAATAACATTCCAATTTTTTAGGAACACTCCTGCARGAAAGTGCAGAAGTATCTGCACTATATTTAATATTCTAATAAGCTTTTTAGGGCAACTTGTGCTATAAACCTCATGTACAAAGMGTGTGAAAAGCTCTTACTTGTGACAACAGAATAAAAGCTAATTAATTAAGCAAGAGTATTTCAGTAAAATTATTCTACTTATGAAGTAATTACCACAAGGGCATCTCATTTACAGCCAGTTAGACAAAGAACACAGCTAGTGACCAGAACACATACATTAGTTAAAAAGTCAAATATATACAAAAATATATTAGAAAGTGGTTGAGTTTAACCACAGGCTCATGTAAAAAATGTTGTTTTAAATAGCAATAGCAAAAAAATAGCTATTTCTCTATCTGCAACAGTACAAAAGGCAACACCTACATATGAGGTAGCAATGCCAAATTAAAAACAAAAAGAAACCAAAAAAGACAACTTTGGATTGAGGAGCATTTCCTATATTTTCATAGCATATCTGTCAATACAAATACTTAAATGAACACTTCAATTGTTTTAAGAATTAACTACATTAATTTACAAACCCCTTTATTCAATTAACTTTTTTTTTAAAAAAAATTACTGGAAATTGGTTTAATTACKGATTTCTCCTGTTTCTAAAAAAGCTGTTGCATTTTCAAACCCAAACACTGTACAGCAAAAAAACATGGAGGCTTTATTATACACACTTGGTAAACACTATGGTACATTAAGACTTAATTTACAAGGATCAGAATAAGCCAACTGTGGTCATTTTATCCTTTTGTCCTAATACGCAGACACTGCACATTTTGCTACCCAATATTCAATGCTAGAGGCAAGATGAGGGCTCACTACTCCCTTCCAGAGCCAAAGCAAGTGCTTGAAGTGTTTGTATCACCTCCCTTGAGGAGAGTGAGCCAGAAATATTTCYATCTACAGGGCCAGGGGTGCTGCCAGGCAGCAGCTCAGAGCTCTCCCTGGTCTGTGCTGGAACTGTCTCAACAATGTGGGAAGGGAAGAAGGGAACAGCTGTGCCCCTTCTCCCAATTCCATCCCTTTGTGCCTCCTGCAGGAGCAGGGCAGGAGGGGTCAGCTGAGCCTTCCTGACCAAAAAAAAAAAAAATCCCATTAATGAAAAGCCAGGAGGTGAACAACCCATCCGGCTGAGCTTTGCCAGCTCTGGGCATGGGACTGCAGGCCCTTCATGTGGGTCAAATCCTCTGCTTCCAGCTCCACTGACCAAAAAGACCCTGCTGCTGCTCCAACTCAGGCAACTAAATTGGATATCCCAAATTAGATGGTACGAGTAACACCAAAAAGTGAACTGGATGGAATTTCAGCATTTATTGTATTAAGAAAATAATATATTTTACATCACAGTGCTTAATTAAATGCAATAAAAAATGTAAACCCAGAATTCTAGATAAAATTTAGCTTGAAAAATTAGGGCTCAAAGAATTTGGAAAATTCACAATTTTTTTAAAATTGAAGTCACAGTCAGTTCACATAACTCACATCTTGAAGTTTGACTTGTAAATAATACCTTTGACGCACTCCAGTGTTTGGTCGGRTTTTGTTTGTTTTGGTTTTTTTTTAAAAGCCTAAATAACAAATGACCAAGTGCAAAGGTAAGAGGTATCTTTTTCTCTGCAGGGAAACTAACTGTAGCAATAATTTGCAAATCAGSCCTCTGGAGTGCTCTAGTAGATGTAAGGAAAAATGCGGTACGGGACACGCTGGCAATACCTCTCCCAGGCCAAGCCATACTTTTGCTTACAATGGTGTTCATCACGAGCCTCTCGATGAACAAGCAAGCAGATGAAATAGATCACGTAGAAATAGGGTAAAATGTGATTAAAACCTGCAAAGTGAGAAAGACAACTTAGATAAAGGACAGAAATCCAGAGATAGTAGCTATTAACAACGTGTGCTAAGCTGGTGACACACACTTGTTCAAAACGGAAGCATTTTATACTCCCAAAGCACCAAATACTCAACAGGAGAGTGCAAAAATTGTGAGGCATGCCTACATGCAGATAGGAGAAGACCGACAAACCCGTAAGAAAAAAAAAGTTAAAGATTCAATAACTACTAATTTCTCTCTCAATAAACACAAAACTGGCACATAATTTTAAGTTCTTTAGTTATCAAAACCAGATTTCCAGTTAAATCTCTGCAGTACTGAGCTGTCCCACAAAAAGTTTTATCTATTTTGGCTGCAGACATGAGTCCAGCCYTGCTCAGAGCAGAGTACTTGAATTGTGGATGAAAAGAATTGGAAATGATCCAGAAATGTGARGCTGCAGCCCAGAAAGCCTACTCTGTTCTGGGCTGCATCAARAGAAGTGCGGCAGCAGATCAAGGAAGCTGATTCTGCCCCATTAGTCTGCTCTTGAGACCCCATGTGAGTGTGCCCTGCTCTGGGTCCCCAGTAGAGGAAGAGTATTTATTAACAAAAACTTTGAAACAGAATTTCAGTCCAACTTTGATGACCTTTTTTTAAAAGTATTTCACTTAAAGTCATCCCTATATGYGTCAGCCCTTGTCTCCAAGCAAACTCCAACTTTTGAGGAACTTCAGTTGAAAGCACACTCACCAGCCTAAAAAATTTAAGTAACAACTAATTAGCAAGCAAGTCCCATGGCTATTAAATGATAAAGTGTCAGAAAGATGAGTAAAATCTATAGGATATGTCAAATCTGCAGCAAGTTAGAAAGGGTAAAATGGAAGAAAAAAATGTGGTTTTTTAGACTAATGACACAGAAATCTGCCATTCAATTGGTTCCYATCTCAAATAATTACCACTTTGCATTTCAAACCCAGTCAGATGCCAAAAAATAAAAGCATTTTTGCTAAAATCCCCTTCATTCTCAGAAACTTACCACAGGGTAGGGACCATGCTAGAGCCATGATGATGTCACCAAGATAATTTGGGTGACGAACAAAACCCCACCAACCGGTGACAAGAAGCCCTTTTCCAGTTGCAGTGGGTATAAATTTAAGATCTGTGAACAGAGTATTATTGTCAATGCAGTGATTGAAATACTACAAAGAGCCATTAAACAAAATCACAGTCTACTGAATAAAAAGTGTACTCACTGGCCAATTTGGGATCTGCTGGATTCCTTCGGAAATTGTTTTTCTGAGAATTCGAACTACGGAATATGTAATACCCAATACCTGAAAACAAATATGATTCAGTTGGCATTTTCAGTGTTTTCCAGTTTTCTCTGCTTTATAAAAGCACTTGCATGACACCTTTGCCACTSTTATTCCCTCAAGGTCTTTTCCTCAGAGGTGCACCCTGTATTTTCTGGTTCTCAGAGTTCTAACAAGATAGAAATGCCATGGGAAACCTGCACTCCAAGCTCCTGCTTGAAAAACTTAGAAAATATTTTGGAGAAGCTTTATTTTCACATCTACTTTTACATCCTGACAGTTTAATAATTTAACACTCAGTCTGAAATTCACACAAGATAATGTGATGCACTTCGTAAGATTAGATTACAGCTCTATTAGCAGCCYAGTACTTTGATACAGCACCTGCTCCATAAAGTGACCAACTCTTTACAAGATCACAATAACAGAAGAACCAGACAATGAATCATCTGGTTTTGAAATTCATATCCCCCATCATTTTCACATGTCAGCTTAAACCCGCTTTTTCCAAAGCTGTATTGAAAAAAGATCACAACATACTTCAAGTAAAGATATTAAAAAAAAAAAGTGAAGATGAAAAAATTATGTTCTATTTCTCAGTATTGTACATATAAAGTTGTAGGCCTTCTTGTTTTTTCCAAATGTTTAAATTCTTTGTCACAGCCATAAAAAATGAGAGTCTTTTTTCGGATTTTCTATCCAGATAAAAGGGACAACAAGGCTATATTGGTGGCAAATTCAAGGTTGCCTAAAGATGTGAGATCTTTTCTCAAAGCACTCAGCTTTGATGAAATAAGATGTTTTCCACTGGCATGTGTAACTATGGGCATCAGGGAAGGAGAAGCAAATAGTCATTTATCCCTAGRTTCAGTGAAGTGTAGCCAACAAGGTGCTGACTTCTTTTTTATGAAACACCCAATCACTCAGATTAACTTAAAAAGGCAACTATTAAACTCAGAATATTAAAGCACTTCTTCAACTCCAGACAGCATCCACCTAGAGATGCCTYTCAACAGAACAATTAGGTGTTCAGTCTCACCTATCCTTCATTTAYTAAAATGAGAATTTATTATGTTTTTTGTTTATAACAGTAGCCAGACAATGACTGCTACATCTGAGCTAAAGCTTCACCTCCCATCTCAAAGAAGCAAAATCAGAACTATGTTATAACCAACAGTAACAGTTACAGTTACTGTAACTTACAGTTGAGAACAGTAATTGCAGCAGCAACAGGCCAAGTGATTGTGGTTGGATGACCCACTAAGTAGAAGGCCTGCAGACTGTAGACAAATGGAACCCACACCAAATCTCCAAATGCCAACATGAATCCAAATCCATCATGGGTAATATCCATKGTAGTCAAAATAGCTTCCTAGAAACAAAGAGGAAGGAATGTAGCATTTACAAAGCTTTGTTCACTTAACATTGGAATTAGAAATGGGAACGACTTAATGAGGTTGCCATTTACCTCATTCCAAAGAGCATCCACTACATACAGAAGCTGGAAGCTGTTCACAAGTATCATGGACAGGGACGGCATACTGAGATTGTGAATCTTCATCTCAGCCAAGAGCATTGCCAAGTTTATAACAACCTAGTTTAGAAAAYATTTTATTTAAAATTTTACTTGTAAAAGCAAGGGCTCTTTTCCATTACACTACAGGACATTTCAATACAAGTACTTTTGTCCAATGTATGCATTCAAAAAAAAAAGCAAACTATTTCACAAGTCAGTTTGCAACCAATCACATTTCTGAAGCTGTATAGCTTCAACACATGAATACTTTAAAAAGTGTTTCCATTTGTCACAAAACAAGCTAGAAATTTCCTTAAAGTGAATAAAGATGGTCATGAAAAATCCAGCAATATGAAACTATTTTTCAGTACTCTTTTCCCATTTATAAATACACATCATATCCTTAAGATCAATTTTACACATAAAAAACCAAATCCTCTGTGTAATAGTTAAAAAAATAAAGTAACAGATTACTGACTCACCCAGCCAATCAGTCCTGGACGCAGCTCACAGAAGTATTTGAGGTCAAAACTGCCAATACGAGGGTTTAATTCATGTCCAGTAAAAAAATCATAAATAAAATACCCTGTAGGTAAGACACAACCTGTTAGCAATAYTCTCCMTTATATCTGCCCTTYCACCTCTCCCCATAAATAAGATATCAGTTTCCACTAATGTTCTCTCATTACAAACTCTTTTAAGCCTTTAGGTTGGCAAAGGAATTTTTTGAAGAGTATATGCAAAATACAAAGCAAAATCTACATGGTTGTATTTTAAGATACCCTAATATTTCATTTATTAGGAGAACTAACCACTTTACAAGTTCTCCCTAACACTTGTTCTTTATTTTCAGCCTTATCCTGAAGCTCACATAAGTGCCTACGAACATAATCATATGGCATTCATTAATTTTACATTTCCTCCTGTTTCACTGCTTTTGTCTGGGAGAAAGCATTCCCTTTTAGCTGTGACAATTACCTGTCMATCAAAAGAGGTGGACAGGAAGAAAACGCCATGCCCTGACTTCATGATATCTGGGACTGAGATCACAAAAACCAAGCACTTTACAGAGCAATTACAGGATGCTACTATGCCACTTAGGAGCTTATRGACTGAATCTTTTGTGTATTAAAATGAAGTATTCGAATATCCTTGGTTACACTGTTAGTCCAGCATGTTACATGTGTGAAGAGAATTTACAGATTATCATAAATTGTCCTTTTAAAAAATGTTCTAGTCTCTCTTTCTCCGTCACCCTACAGTCATTTTTAAAAGCAGTTTGATATTTAATGCTAACACACTTCTCCATCCCTCTTTYGTCCTACAAAACCATCTGTATATGATTGATACTTCCTAGCCCAGGCAATCCCTTGACTGAATCAAAATCTCTTTTGAAAACTTCATTCAGCTAACTAGATTCAAAAGCACACAGCAAGTTACAAGTTTAGGAATGCTCCTTAATTTCAACTTCTATACCTGACTTCCCACTGCCAAAACATCTATATTCTTCTGTTTTTCCTTCCATTCCCAGCTATTCCACAAAATGCTGCACTGGCAGGGGTACTATGAACCAACCTACACAAGAAGCTGAAAGCAAGGAACTGTCAGCTCTGAGGGCCTACACCAGCCAAGATATTATTGTGTAAATTGTTCCAGATAATCCARCTAACATTTAAAGCGATTTGCAGAATCTGAGTGAGAACGAAAATATGCCATTTCATTTGCAACATTATACTGGTACAAAGTAAAAGTTACAGTATTATAATAACCAGCCCTAAATTTAGCCTTTAATTTGTAAAAATATTTGAAACTATAGCAAACAAGTGGAAAGAAATTATCCAAAATGCTCTAACTCACCAGAATTTCCACCTGGTGCTAATTCTTCCTCAGGTGCTCTCAGGGATCGAACATACAGATAAATGCTCAGTGCCAAAGAAAAAGCTGCAGCTGACACAGCAAACTGTATGAAGTGATCATACAAATAATGAAGTTCAAACTGAAAATACATCAGCGCTCCAATAGCTGCAGCAGTCAAAATAAAAGCATAAAACCCTAAAGGATATAGAAGAGAGACATATTAGTAAAAAAAAAATAAAATAACCATTTATCATCCTACCAAATCCAACATTTCCATATTTTTAGTTCTTAAAATATTTATCCATATTCCAGTAACATCTTGGACATCCCATGCTTTAAGTTCAAACCGGGCATAGCAAYATAACCAAAAGCTCTAAACCCTGAAACTGCTCATCAAAAGGACAAGAGGCAGGAACACTCCAAATGTTTCCCCACTTTTTATGACATTGTCGTAGACATATTTCAGATTGTAGTGGAAAAATAGACTCTGACACTACTAATGGATAATGACAGCAGGCCACAAAACCTTATCTGTGGGACAGCTCAATCATATTTTCATCTTTGAATTATCTTCACATATACCTTGATACAGATAGCAGTAATTAAAGGATCAAAATAACTATCAAATCAAAATTTGAACACAAAAATTTGAAAGTATAAAATCAGGCAAAATGGACTCATGCTCAAATACGAGCAGGCAGTTCTCAGCTGCTCTCAGCTAGGCACCTTCTATAGACCCCTTCACAGGGGTTGAGGTYAGAAGGTCCCTGCAGAGCTCATCTGGCTAATGCTTCCTAATGTTCARACGGAACCTCCTGTACTTCACTTCGTGCTCACTGCCTCCTGTTCTGGTCATTTACCTYTCCTCAAGAAGCCTTTTAAATCTGTTTTGAAAATTAGCCTTTGAAACAACAAGATGGGTACTTCTTAAAAATCCAAATGATGCAGATTATTTCCTCCCTTTATCAGAATGCAGAAATTGCAGCACTGTGGCATGACTAAAGAAAAAAGCCAAAAACCAAGAAAGGCATGTGACAGCCTCAACGTGACTCGCTTTTGCAGGATGGAATTCACCTTGTTCCTATTATTTACAGCCCTATTCTAACTTTTAAATAGTGCAGCCTACTAGACTATGACAARACTCAGCTTTTTCATKTARTATTTGGATTTCACTACCACCAAAYAGTGTCCTTGAGCTGACTATAATCAAATAGCCAGTCTGGAATATCTACAAGGCACCAAAGACACCTTCCTGTTTAAGCCTGAAAAAGCAGGACTGCTGATGCATAGACCTAGATGAGAAAGTTGTCTTATTCACAGGAATTGAAATCAGTTCTAATTAAGGACTCAGAACTGTTCTTTGATAGGCAGGAAGAAAAATATCTTAAATCAGTTACAACATACTTATCAGTCTGTAAATCAGAGACATCCAAGATGATGCAGACATACGAGATAAGATTTCTTCAGATCACTCCTCCTGCACAGTCCTTGTTACCTGAGCATCACTAGCCTTTTCAATAGACAACTCCCTGTTTGGCAATTATGCAAGGAATATGACAGGAGTCACCAGATACAGATCAGGTGCCTTGTATAGTGCAATGTCTTGCTCCTGGGGCACTTAGATTCYGATGACTACTAAGCAGCTTTTTCCAAGAAAAGGCTCATCCTAGTTTATCAAAGATTTCCAGCAGTTACAGATTGGAAGATGAGYCTTTCATCATCTGTATTTTATAGTRCTGAGCACTGCAAATCACAAGGTGGAACCAATTTTAGAACAGAAAACTGCAACATGCTTACCATTTATCCGGTACTGCAGTTTCCTTCCATTGGAAAGGGGCAGGCCTTCTACAACCTAGGAAGAAGAAAAYATTAGTGTTCAACAAAATATTTTCTGTGGGCCCTGCAGGGGAGGAAAGCCAAGCACAACTWTGCCAGAAGGACATTTGGTCAAAGCAACCAGCTGGATACACACAAACCTGAAGCTCATGCATTGTTCTAAAAACATACTCTGGATAGCAAATGAGAAAGATTAACAAACAAAAACATTTTTAAAAATAAATCTCTTTAAAATCAGCCTGAAAAAAGCAGAAGTCCTCTAGTGATTGTAAACACATAAAGCAATAAAACATGATTGACTGATCCACTTAAGAGTGTCATTTCAGCATCGGCCAGTAACACTCAAGTCACAGAAGAGGGAAGGAGAGCATCTGCCTGATATGCATTTGGCTAGAATGGTTTACAGCTTCCCAAAACGCCACATATCCATAAGAAATCAAGTATCAAAATAATCTGTGAATTTAAGTCAGATACGTAAAAGTCTTCTAGAATTCTACCAAGTRAAGTTTATCCACACTTTGACCTAATGCCTGTATCATGCCTTCTGCCTTCTTTACTGAAAGACCCTGAAATGCAAAAATTCATAAMCAGCTGTGCTGCTTTAAGTTTACAGAAATCTGCAGCAGCCATATTCCAGTTTATTATTAAAAACTCATTAAATTGCTTTTAAATTCAATGCATTTAGAACATACTCCACCTTTCAGCCTAACACACAAATTAATTGCCCATAAAGAGCTAATTGCTCCCAATAGCCTACCTTTCCAACTGGCAGCAAGTAGAACACAGCTTGAAGGAAAAACCACAGAAGATAGATACCGAACACCCTCCCCTCCCAAAGACTCTCAAGTGCTGGGAGAGSAGGGAAGTTCAGAAGACTTGGGTCATCTTGTTTGCACATCAACAGCAAATATAATACAGTAGCAGGCAGGAAAAGTATCATCATGAAGGACCCTGTAAAGGGATATCATGGCATGTTAAAAGGCAAGCAGAGAAACAAAAAAAAACCCCTAGTTTCAATCCCACTAAAGGTCAGTATGAAGAGGAAGCTGTCATTGTCCACTCCTGAACAAGACAGCAGCAATCCCCATCATGTAACAGGACAGAGACATTCTTCACACTCCCATACAAGGTCATCTACCAAAGGATCATATCCACAGCGTCCCTTTAAAACTTATCAAAACACTGTATAAAGAATGCTTTACTGTCAAGTTCAAAGCACCTAAGTTTAGAAAATGTAAAAACTTTGCTGGTTATTCTTAAATTTAATCTAGAAATACTTAGATCTCATTGTGCAAGGCATGGCACAAGATCTTAATTGCATTTCACATAAGAACCAAATGCAATAAAGGTTTTTTGACTGCAACCAAATCAAGTGAAAAACGACCATATTATTATTTTAAGTTCTGCAGCCAAGGTCCAAAAATTGGAAAAACAGTTCTTGACATGGCAGTATCATCAACAAGTAAAAAAAGTACCACATTAAAAAACGTAACAAAATAGAGCAAATTTTCAACTATTAAGACAATTTGCACACATACCAATTCTTCCTCCAAACTCCAGCTCCTTTGTTTTTGATGGTACTTTCTCAACTGGTTTTACTGCCAAAAAAGTCTTTTTCTCTGAATAAATCTCTTCTTTTTTCTTGTCATCTTTCCTTGAACGCAAGCTGTACTGCTCAAGCACACGCTTGACTTCCAGGTCTGGTTTTAACTTTTGCTGTGAATGAATAAAAGTAATTTAGCAAAAAGATTCCCAGTGATTTGACTTTATTTTAGTCCAATATTTTATATTTCAGAGGACATTATTCACTGTTATAAAACATCAACACACAATGTCTTCTATACAGTWCTTAAGTTTATCCATTCACATAAAGAGACTGCTAAAAGCAGCCACTGCAATTAGGCCACGATTACAGACCAGCAGCAGYTCCAGTAAGGATCATCCATTCCCACCCTCCCACCTTCCCTTCTGCCATAAGTCTAGGCATTAGCTAACAATCAGGACTAAAGAAAAAAATATTTTGTCTGTAGCAAACTTAYTTAACYTCTAAGTTTTACTGCCTTCTATTTCTGCTTCATTATTGTATTGCCCTTTTATAGGAATTTCTGAGAGCTAAGCTAAGAATGTGACAAAAACCTAAGAGCAAATTCRGTGTTCCTACCTCCAAGATGATACAGGACGTGTCATTTTTTTCTGTGCTTTCAGGCTCACCATTGTACCTTTTGGTGTTATTCTCACTTGGCTTCTGGTTAAAAGAAGAAACAGTTWAAGCTTTCGGAAAATAACAGCTACRTGAAGAGCAACTATGTAATGAGTAATTAAGAACACTATCTAGGTTTTTTTTTGTCAACTGGCTACTTTTTTTAATAAATAGTGGAATTAAGATACGATACAGCTTCCAAGTTATTTTAACTCATCATTAGCAACTGCCAAGTACAAAATACATGTCTATTTAGTAGTGCCATTAGACAAGCAGACGAAACTTCAGTGCCCTATACATGGCACTGCTCTGGAGGAGTAAAAGCTCCGTTTTCCATTAAGCATCTTTGAAGAAACAAACTCTCTTTATAAAGGAATAAAAATTCCTTTAATGGGTGTAGCTTACACAACTCTAAGAGACATGACTGGTATGTTTTATTTGAACTGAAGTTTTGTTGAAAAGAACCCAGTCTTTCCAGTCATACAGCAGTGAACATATCAATCTTACTCTTCAGTCAGAAGCCAGAACAAACCCACCAAAGATATTTTAGTCCTTTTATTCCAAAAGGTTAAAAATACTAAAAGTTAAGTGTAGCTGGCTAAAAAACTTAAAACCAGCTTATGATYCACAGGCATTGGATCACACAGCTCAAAGAAGTTCACTGGAAAACAAAACCCACAGCTATTTCAGTGCCAAAGAGTAGCACTTTATTAAATCTACCTATATAGTTTATATTAATCTGGTTTGGTTTAGCTGAAATCTGACTAAACCCTGTCTACTTTCAAAAGATCAGCAGAATKCATTTCTAGTTCAAGGGACTGTGTCTCAGAAAAGTGAGAAGCCAGCTCAAGGGCACAAGAGGCAGCAGAAATGCTTTTTGTCTCTTCATAGAGAAACATCACCTCTTCACTTACAGATTACCAGAGCTGTTTTTAGCATTCAATCATCACAAAAATGCTAAGAACAAACRTAATAAATTTTAGTTAAACATCACATATAGGTAAACTTAGAAATCCTTATGGATTAGTTTTTATAATGAAACCAGTTTTGTAATATTATCCATCAGCAGGGCCATATTTAAAGATTCCATACTGCATGCCCTCCACTACTACTCTCATAATGCGTATATGATAACAGAACTCATGTTATTTTAAATCCTAATACCTACCTGCTATGTGCCAATTAACACATCTAAAAGTAAGCTTATTTCCTTTGCCCATTTCACAAGCAGAAGCACATGGTTAATATAACTTCAACTTGAAAATATAAAAATATCTGTGTTTGTTTGGATTCTGAGAACTTCACAGTATCACCAAATTCAAATGGAACATTATAACCTTGGTTTACCCCTCAAGAACTTCCTCCAACTTTGCTAGAAGTTAGAAACCCTATTCTCAAAGAAAAAAAGGCAGTTTTGAGCTACACTTTTGCAGGTAATTGTGTTGTCTGGGGAACATGAACTGCAACTGGCTTTTACAATGATAAACCCAGTAAACATAAAATCAATCTTTCACAAACAGCTAAAACTTGTTTAATAAAAATCCAGCAGACCCATAGACAAAAAAACAAACAAAACTAATACCAGTAGAGCTAAGCTGGTTTCTTGAATGGTTTTCTTTTTGTCATCTTTGTGTTCTCTGCTTTGGGAAGCAGAGCGACGTCTGCCTTTTGCTGGCCGACCAGGAGACCGGGATCGAGAGCGAGATCTGCTGCTACTTCTTCTGGAAGGAGAACTGGAAGAAGACTGGCTCTTCCTGGGCTTGAATGATGACTGCGACTAAAAGATGGAAAGAAAACAAAATCTTATCTATGTCCCAAAGGATAATTTTAGAAACATAGGGTTTTTTTGTGCKGAGGACTCTGGCATAGTTCTACAGATCTGTCTCATATTTCCTTTACTGATGCTGTACAAAAGCTGTCAAGAAAGAGCAAATGCAGCATCCTCATTTTGCTGGCAGTTCCCAAGCAATCCTGTTCCAAGTCCAACTGCTGCTAACAATTCCTGTCAAAGCTATAGAAATCAGGCTGTGGATATAAGCTACCAAGCTGCTAAGCACACCACCCTCTCAATCCCCTGCAAAAGGAAAGGAACTGAGCGCTATCTCAAGCCCTCACAGACTGCTCTCACTTCCAGTAYTCAGCTTTATGAATGCACTTGACATAGCAAGGGGTCATCATCTGTGTGAGGCAACACAGAGCAAATCAACACTAAAAAACCCAAGTCAGCCTAATCAATTATATGTGAAAACTACTTTAATGAACAGTTTGCTCCAAAAACACTGCTTAATTTCTCTGTGAAATCTATAATGCTGATTTTCCCATGTAAAATTTCCACAATACAACTTTTATAACGCACAAATATTTCATGACAAAGAAAGGCATTTCCCAGCTTKCATCTGTTAACCTAGAAGCTGGAAGTAACAAGTCACAAAGTCCTGAAGCAGTGAAAATGTTGCCTACTTCAAGGCAGAAACATTTTGGTTCTGAAATAAAAGGTCAGTTACTGGGCATGCACACTGCCACCAAGAAGTGACAATACAGCTCACATAAAGACACACAAGCCAGCTTTAAACTTAGGCAGGTTTCAGAAGAGGCCACAGACAACAACAGTGAACACTCACACAGGTTTTCTTCCTTTTCCATTATTCATTTTCAACTGAAACTTCTACACAGTTTTAAAGGTCATTATTAGTAACACAAAATAAAATAATAAAGAAATGTGAAGAGGAAGGAATGTGCTTGTAAGACAAGAACCTTTCTCCAGAGTTTCTAACTGCCACAAATACAGCAAAATACCTCATGAAGTTTTTGAGGACTGAAAACAGTACAAGCTATTTCCACATGTTTTGTGTCTGAAGAGCACATGGTTGTAAGTTTACAGTTTTGCACTATTTATATTTACAGTGACACCTAACTGCATGTTCCCATTTGTTTTCCAACTTTCTTAAGAGMTGGAAAACCATCAGATTAATATCAGCCCACTGATTACTATCTTTATAAGGCACCCAAAACGATTTTTCAMGACAAATCATGCTACAGAGTTCCTGAATGATCAGACTTTGTGTTCCTCAAAAACATTACTTTTTTTCAACACAAATAAAACAATCATGATACTTGAAAGATGGGGTCATTCTGAACTTCTATTTGAGATGTTATATAAGAAGAAGCTTTTATTTAGCACCAATTCCTTGAAGACACAGTTAAAACAAACTTCTAAAATGACTACCTAGTCACAAGCTGTACCTYCAGCTACAGCATAAAATCAGTATAATCTTCCTTTAGAAGTACTGATAAATAAATACATGTGTACTCACCCTTAATTCACTTTCTTTCAATGCCAGTTCAGTGCCATCTTTGTACTTCACAGTATAAAGATGAGCAACATCATCATAACTGGTCACTTGTACTTCATAGTACAGGACACTTCCTGGCCAACGGCCCATCACCACCTCGCCATCAGCAAACTTCCGGCTTGGCATTTTCCAAAGAGAATCCCTAGAAAATAAATCAGTCACTCATAAAATGATAGCTAAACATTAGGTTCCATTTTCCCCTACTCTTTCTSTATCATTTAGGCTGGAAAGGGAAAACTTWAAACAACGCTGCACTTTATATAGGCTGWGTGATAAGAAAACAGCAATGATCTCTTTTACAAATCAATAGCAGACAGAAGAAATCGCCTTAAAATAGAGAGAAAATTGAAGCTGAATGCTCTGGAAAAAATGTTCAGATAGAATAGTACTGAAATATGATAYACAATCTTCATCACCAGACAAAGCACATATTTGACTAAAATTTTAATATAACACAGCTCATCTTATCTAGAGGGAAATACAAATTACATGGTATTTAAGTGTCCTCTAACACCTCTCTTCCTGTGGTTCTACAAAAATTACTGCAGTGATGATTTCTAAATATTAAATTTAAACATCCCAAATCACTTGAACATTTAAAGACATATTACACACTTTCTTCAATTTATTATGACAAACATTCAAAAGTTAGGAAACCTCAGAATTTAGCCTTTTCTCTGGGTTGAATGTTTTCTCTTTTCCAYCTATTTAGCACAAGGGGCATAATGCCTTTTTCCAGGGGTCCAYGGGAAAACAAAGCACAGCATCAGAACAATCACATAGTAACCTGAAAAACTGAATTCTATCCCTGTCTGCACCKTAAGGCTTTTACTTGATATTAGCAAAACACAGTGTGACTATTACCCTTGGTTCACCACACCAGATACTGGATAAAAACCACATTTACAAYTTAGAGAAAGCCATTTTCAAATGTAAAGTCCTGCAGAATTGTTTGCAAARTGCTTTGTATTATGTCACTGCCTTCTGAAAACAGRTGTCCAAAGCAGAATATACTTTTAACYTCAATGTATCAAGTGAGGCTACCTTAAAAGTCTAAGGCAAAATATACACTAACATATGCACTGACACCATCTGTACAATGAACACAGTAACTCAGAGTGGATGGCAGAGACAGGGACAAAACACAAACCACAAAACGTCGGTGTCAAAGCATTTTAACTTGTTTGCTTTATAAATAAGGTGTGAAGCCATACAAACTAAGGTGAAAACAACAATTTAACTAGATATTTAACCATTATACATTAACTAGTGTGCAGTGAAAAGATAAGAGACCATCGAACACTGGGAATGGGGCTCAATGAGTTTTTTCAATCAACATTCATTGTAGCATTCTCTGATGCTACAGCTGCTGTTAAATTTTACACCTGTGTAGCTCTCCAAGTCAAAAACAAMAMAAAAAAAAGACTCAACAGAATTCCCCCATATGCATTTTACCACTAATATTCCAAACTGCTTCAGAACAGAAACATCTGGCCATCTCCTTTACTGTATAATATTTGAAGGAGAGAAAAACATAAGCTTTATAATTTAGTTTCACACTCACCAGTTAAAAAATTATCAGAGTCCTAGTCTATGCTTCTATGCACATGCTATTCCATCTCTTCTGCCTTCTAACTAGTGTTTCTTGAACCAGTTTCTTGTCTTATTCCTTCTGAATTACCACTACTCCGACTTTCTTTTATCCCATCTTAACTCCTTCAAATTTACAGCCGTGTTTCTGACAACTTCCACATTTTCACCTCAAATTCTCCATTCTCACCTTACTCCCTGCCTTGGATTCYCTGTGGGTTTTCTGCCGTTTCTGCYCTTGTTCACCAAACCAGTTCCAGTTCCTCTTCATCACCTTTACCTAAATTTGATATTAATCTCAGTCTTTGTCTCCTCATGCAGTTTTCTCACCCAAAAGACAGCTCTGTAGGAGACCCACGCCTACTACTGCTCTTTCCCTGGCCTCTTGCAGTCAGAGCTTCTTCCTTCTCTTCCATAAATAGTCTAAACACCGGAGCTCCACCGAGTCACTCAGAGCTTTCACCAGATGTCATAGCCTGACTTCATTTCCCTTCTGCTGCTGTACTTCCGACACCACACCATCTGTTTCTTCTCTTGACCTGCAGCACCTCAGGCATCATCTGTAAACTGGGAGTCTGACCAGGACAAAGCTGGCAGATCCTATGACAAAGTTGTAGGAAACTGAATCTTTGAAGGGCAAATCCTTTTTAAAAAGGGAAACATTTTTTCATGAATTGTTACTAAGGGCATGTATACTGATTTTTACAATTTGTAATAACCACTTCAAAATTTAGATATCATTTCATAGAACAATAAAATGCAATTCACTGCCAGATTCCAAAACCCAGCAGTTTTGTATGCAAACATAAYGACAGCCCAAAGGAAAGGTAACTTGATGATTTAATTCTTGTGAAAGGCAGAAAGACCTTCCCCCTAYCTAACCTTGTTCTTAAAAGGAGCTGAAGTTGGTTTCAAAAAGTTGGAAAACGTGGCTGAAGAACCTGTACCTAAATCGATGTAATTCAGTCTGAGGCAGGTATCGCTGATACGAAATTCCAAAATAATAAATAAATAAACTTAAGCAAGTCGACATATYTTCCAATTCAAAAGTAATGAACAATCTTGGGAATGGGAAAACATGTATTTTTTAAATATTTTCTTTAAATATTAAAGCTTAATAATAAGACATTAAACAGTAAAACATTTTCCAAAGAGAATCCCTAGAAAATAAATCTGTCAGTCCGTATGACAGCTAAACATTAGGTTCCATTTCCCCCTACACTTTCTGTATCATTTAGGCTGGAAAGGGAAAACTTAAAACAACTCTCTACTTTATATAGTGTAAAGTCTGTGTGATAAGAAAGCAGCAATGATCTCAAATACTAAAAGATACTGAATATTAAAAGTATCTTCTTGCCCTATCAAAAATAACCACTTTGTTCTGTACCGCAGTGCCTCCTGTGAGGGTAAGGTCTGCAACCCTCATTCTTTATATCTCACTTCAAAAAGCTGCACCTTTTAAAGGCAGCCTTCATCTGTTCAGATAACAAACACAAYTACTGGCATCGAGAAAAGACAGGAAGTCTTTCAAAACAAATACAGTTTAGAGATTACATTTTTAATTTACTGCTCTTTCAAGCTCTACACACCCCTGATAATTTTCATGGTATCAGGTGGCATCAGCCCAATATTCCCACTAGCTCTGCACAAACTTCGGAATTCACAGGGCTTCAAAATATGAATCCAAAGATTATTTCATATGACAAATCTTATACTGTACAGACACCTGATTGCAAGTTTAGTCACTTACTCAGGAGATAAAATTTGTGTTTTCTAAACCGTTACTGCTTTTCTTTAGGAATCCAGAGATTAAAAAAATTAATCAAAAGGACTTTGCATCCTATACCAAGCCAAGCCAATTAATGCAAATCTCCCTGGAGCTTAAAAGTTGGCAAAGAATAGAAGTTTCTGCTGAGTCAAACACGAATGAAAAAATTTAAAAGAAACTTGGCTGAGAAACGTATTGCCCCATGCATGCAATTCTGGTCTTCTTAATGACTCTCTCATTAGATATGTGGAAAGATATTTCATTGTGAAGAAAGTGATGTATGTTAGCTTGTAGCCACGGGAGACCATACCCCATCAGCAGAAGTAAGGGTACAGTTTCAAGAATAAATAAAACTAAACAAGTTTTCCCTCTTAGAAGAGCAGGGCTCACACATACTCAGCGATTCCACTTAYTAATTCTAACATCTCATCACTGTTAGATAACGTTTTGGAAGTCAGAGGAGGGAGCCAGTTCAGTGCAAGAAATGCAGGAAAATAATGAAAACACTGACAGTCAAAGCTAACAATTCGCCGCAAGTTACCACTGAATTCACCAGAGACTGAGCTGTGCAAGACCTTTTCAGCATCACCATTACTCTCTCCACATCTCTAGCTCTTCACCTTCAGAACGGCGGAGGCACCCATCCCTGTCCAAACCAAATTAACTTCACCACTTRAAAACAAGCACAAGTAAGYCTCGAGGTAAAAATAACAACCCATCAACCTCGCGCTGGAAATCGMGGATCTTCCCTTTTGAGAGGCTTTCTACCGGAAAAATCGCGAGCGGAGGGCACAGGGCAGGAACTCGGACTGGCGGGCAGGGCCGGAGCGCGGCGGGGCGGTGTTGACAGGAAGGGCCCCACGTGCCGGAGGAGGCCCGGCCCCTCGGCCCCGCCCCGGTCGCGCTCGCGGTCCGGGCCTGGCGCGGGGCCTCCGCTACGGGGGAAGGGAGGGGCCGCACCGCCCCTCGGCGGCCTATTCCCGCTCGGAGCCCGGCGCGGCGGAGCCGAACAAAGCGGAGGCGCTCGGCCCCGCCACCTCCGGGGCCCCGAGCGAGGAATCCGCGCCGCTCGCCCGCCCGCCGAGAGCGAGGCCSCAGGGCGGCCGCAGCCATCGGTCGGAGCGCTCCCGCCGGAAAAGCTGCGAAGGGAAAGCTGGGGGAGGGGGCGGGGGAGGGGGGAGAGTGGGAGTATCCCGGCCCGCGCGCGCCGCCGTCGCCGTTACCTGCGCCCGCCCGCGCCGGGCCGGGCCGGAGGCGGTTCCGCGGAGCGGCGGGAGCGGGGCCCGAGCGCGCGCCGCTCTCCGCTGAAGGGAACAACCGCCCCGCCGAGCGACGGTTACGGCCGCGCGCACGGCCCCGCCCCCTCATCCCGCCCGCCAACCGCGCCCATTGGCCGGGACGCGCCGTTTGAATCGCGGGGTGGCCGCGCCCCATTGGCTGCCCCGGCGATGGCGCGGTCCGCCCTCCCYGCCCTGGGGCGCGCGCCCGGCCCCGCCCCGCCGCGGCGTGAGGGGAACGGGGGGGGAGGGGGCGCTCTGCTCCTCCGCCTCCCCTCACGGAGCCTGATGGGGAGAGGGGAGGGAGAAAGGGGCGGAAAGGTCGCTGTCGTGTAGATGGGGGCAGGCTCGGACCGCCTGCGCCACACAGGCCCCGCCGCCCGTGGTAAACAAAACCGAGGGTTTTGTTTACGGAGCATCCGCGGCGCCGAAGGCGGCGAGACCGCGAGTACTCCTACGCTGGCCGGACAACCTTCTGTGTTYCCTCCAGCTCTGCGCCTCCAGCACTCAAATGACAAAAGATGGTAAAAATRCCGAAAAACAACATCCCCTCTCGCTCAAAAAGAAAAAATGGGCAAAAAGCCGAGGTGGCGAGGCAGCAAGCGAACAACAGGCTGTGCTCCCTCCAACACTAAACAAAGCCAAAATGTAGTAAAAATGCGGTAGAAACGCACTGAAAACGCCCGATTTTCTCAAAGAAAAATACCGCCAAAAAAAGGAGGGGCGGCTTTTGAGGCGGTGAGACCACAAGAGCTTCTACACTGACAGAACAACAGGCTGTGCTCCCTCCAGCCCTGCACCTCGACAAAGCCAAAATGTGGTAAAAATACGGTAATAAAAGTGGTGTAAAATCATCCCCCCCCCCAAAAAAAAAAAAAAAAAATTCAAAGGGGGCTAAAATCAGCAGGGTGTGGTGTGGTTACCCCTGTGCTTTTGGGGCAGGTTTTCCATTAAGGCCATTAAAGTTCCTGGCAAAATTTTGAAATCAGGAAGGCTAAGCAATACTTGAGCAGGCAGAAGCGGAATGGGTTGTGAAAAAGTTAGCAAATTGTCCTTAATCTTGAGGTTTAATGTTCAAGTAAGTTCTTTCAGCGTTAGTATCTTGTAAGTAGTGAAATGCTTTAAGAGAGAAATACAGACGTTTTTGTGTTTGTGCAATCTTTATGAACCTCCCAAATTTTCTAAATTTGGCTAACAAGTGATACTCTGTCCTAATAAAGCATTCTAAATGAAGGAAAATTCCCTAAAGACAAGACCATCATTGTCTCATGGAGAAAACTGTCTGTGCCATGCAGACACAGCAAAAAATCTCACATAAAAGAACCCTGAAACAACAACAGCAACATCACCATTAAAAAAAAAGAACCAACAAAACCTCCCAAAAAATCAACAACAATAAAAATTRAATGAAAAACCACAGCCAAAAATTGACAGATGTAAACAGGCCCCATGGTAGCCATGAGCTCAACTTGTTTGAGATTTAATTGTTGTTGTTGGTTTGTYTATTTGTTTTGGAATTTAAGTTTCAGCTATAATGTTTAAGCTAGGAGTATGGCAATTTTTTTCCTCTAAGTGATCACAGGAGATGGGCCTTCCTGGGTGAATTTTTAAAATATAGCTATTTTACTATTTATTCTGCTTATTTTACCCTTGATTTTTTTTAATTTTTGCGAGGATTTTTTTTTTAATTGCATTTTGTATCTCCCCTGTTTTTGTACCTAAGAGACCCAGTTGTATTTTGTCATGCATTCAATGTATTTTTTACTACATGATGCAGTAAAAGGTGTCTAAAGGAGATTAAAAGTTACTCAGACCAGAGTAATGTGTAGGCATAGATTTTAATAAATGCAGTTAGGAAAAAATTGTTCTTTAGCTGTGTTAAAGCAATCAACTTTATTAGAGASATTTGATAATTTACTACACAAAAGAGTGCAAGTGAAGCTTGATTTCTGGCTTCTGATAATGAATATTTTGATTTCAGCTAAGATTTGTGCTTTATTTACTATTGCACAGTTTACAGCTATGATGTTGAGAACTGTTTTCAGCAGTTCAGTCTAAATTGCAGCAGCTATTGCTTAAAATGAGCCTGCTTCATTTTGCTGGCAGCAGAGGCCTACAATTAATGTTTAAATATGAAGGGTTTCAGTTTGAAGTCTTGTTTAGAGAATAAACTTGCCTTCAAATGAATGGTTTGGGTTTGGGATTGCTTACTGAACTTGGATTAGAAACCCCTTGGGCCACTAAGAATTGTTTATTACAATTCTTCTAGTGATAATTGGTATGGATTTGAGAGATYACTTCAGAAATACTTGTGGGACCATCACTGGACAGCTATTAAATGGGAMAAATGTGAAATGCAGTCAGCGCCAGCACCATCAAAATGATATTACCTGTGCATTGCTGCAAGTTAACTCTGAAATTGGCYAAGATCTACATAAAGCATTTCAATCCCACAACATAAAACTGAGAAAATAATTCTCTAGGCTTTCATTTTAATGACAATCCCAGAATCATCAAGGTTGGATGGGACCTTCAAGATCCTCTAGTCCAGTTG